GCTAAAGATATTTGCAAAACGAAGTCCGCAATAGTAACTGCTTAATAATGATAATTTAACTCCTACGACCGACTTTCTATTCACATCGGCATTGATCAAGTAATTCTTCGTATTTTTGTTGAGCAAACGCGAGGTATTATTATTCTTTATTCACGAATAAGCTGACGTTTCGGCGGATTTCGCTTTCCTCAGAGCCTGGAAAGGTCAAGTTGATAGCAATCTACTCGGCCAGATGCCTCCATAACCATACAAAGAAACTCTAAACCAAGATTTCAATCACATTGAACACAGCTTTGCACACTCACCGCTTTCTATGAGTCTTCCACCAAGTATGTCACGTAGAGACCAACCGCACAGAAATCATATGGAAGCATAATGTGCCCCTCTCATCAGAATAGCAGTCTTATATACTCATCGGCATTGATCAAGTAATTCTTCGTATTTTTGTTGAGCAAACGCGAGGTATTATTATTCTTTATTCACGAATAAGCTGACGTTTCGGCGGATTTCGCTTTCCTCAGAGCCTGGAAAGGTCAAGTTGATAGCAATCTACTCGGCCAGATGCCTCCATAACCATACAAAGAAACTCTAAACCAAGATTTCAATCACATTGAACACAGCTTTGCACACTCACCGCTTTCTATGAGTCTTCCACCAAGTATGTCACGTAGAGACCAACCGCACAGAAATCATATGGAAGCATAATGTGCCCCTCTCATCAGAATAGCAGTCTTATATACTGCCCTATATCACGCGTGATAATGAGGCATTCTTCCCTGCGGTTCATTTTTGGATTTCTGGAATTAATCCAGAATGCCTCGAGAGTTTTTCGCGCCTGTGTTCTTGATTCGCGTGCGAGGATCGTGACACATACTTCAAAGTCCTCCCCGTTTTGTCTCTGGGTCCTATGCGTGCCTAACGGAGTATTTGGTTTATGTTTGCCGGCTAGGTGTTCTTTTATGCGGACACGGAGAGGTTTGCCCGTTTCGCCAATGTATTCGTGACCGCACGTCTTACAGGAGATCAGATAAACTATACCCGAGCTCATGCAATCACCGTCTCTACCACTGGGGCAAATTATGCAATTTTGAGCTGCACATAGACGGTCATATAGGCGGTTACGAACTAGCTGGCGCTTAAGATTACTTGGTGGTATTTCAACTGCGCTTAGGAAGGCGAAATCCGCCGAAACGTCAGCTTGTTCGTGAATAATGATAATTTAAGTTTGATAATAATAATAATAATTCGTATGAAATGCTGAGATATTTGAAAAACTCCGGACCACAGGTGTATGCAGTGGAGAACGAACACGTGCTGTTGTCCTTACCGGGGAGCAGCGCGTGTTCGTTCTCCACTGCATACACCTGTGGTCCGGAGTTTTGCAAATATCTCAGCATTTCATACGAGTTATATTTCGCAACATAACCTGCCATTAAGAAGAAAAAGGCAGTAAATAAAAGAGTTAAGATAATAATAATAATAATAATAATAATAATAATAGTAGTAGTAATAGTAATAATAGTAATAATAATAATAAAGTCTACAATAATGGCGGCAATGATTGCGGTAGAATAACAGCAAGGAATAATAAAAATAACGACGTTTTTAAACAGCATACATAACAGCGTTATTGAAGCGTTTGGCCTAGTAGATTGTATATCAGCATGCCCTTCCAGGCTCTGAAGAAGGCGATACTGCCGAAACGTCAGCTAGCGTTGTATTGTATTGTGTTTTTATGGAAGTAAATGTATGCTGTTTAAAAACCTCGCGATTGCTGAACAAGAAAACGACACATTCATATTCCAATGCCGAGGTTAAGAGAAAGTCGATCCTGGAAAAATAACGACATTTAAAATCTACAGATTAGCAACGAATTATCTTCATTGCGTTTTAGAGAGTTTCACTCTCTTCAGATCCTCGAAATTATGATGTGGAATGCTCCCACGGAGCCTACTCGGTCGAAAATTTTCATAATCTCAACCTTAAAAAACCACGAGCATGAATTTTTCCATCAAATAGTTAACAATTTTGTAATAACTTCTCTTTCCTGTTGTACACTTTTTAGGCAGTAAGGCCTTCTGCAAAAACTCAACGGTTAAGACGAAAGTTTGTGGATGACAGTGGGAAATTGAATGAATAAGTGAAAAGGTGAAAAATATGCTGCAGTTAACTCAAGTAACTAATTACTATTGATTGAATACATATTGATTAGTCACACCGAGGTACAAGGAAAGTCGGTTTCGAAATAGTGATTACTTGGTAACTGAAGGATTCACAACCAGGAGAAGTTGTGTGGACTACAGCACATTTTCCACTTGACTGCTAATTTGCTAGTCACTCAAAATTTGCTTCCTCTGAAGTTTGGAAATGGCTGTCTTTCTCAAGCCATCTCATCATGGAAATCATCTGCCCATGTTGGTCGGACTGAGACTTGTCACCTTCTAGCCAAGTTTCTTCCAGAATGACAAAAAAACTCGGTATTCATTTTCTCTGGTTGTGTTTCCGAATGGAAACAACAAACTTTTTCTCATCTTGAGAGACTCCGTTTGAGGTGCCGGCCCATACTTCGGAAACATCCCCGAACTATAAAGATAAGGAATTTGGAGCATTTGGGAACAGGAAAGTACCAACGAGTATTGGTCTTACTGTGGTCTTACGGAACTTCATCGTTTGCCTCTATGATGAAGATGTGGTATGAAGCACAAACACAAGTGAACTACTTTGCCGTTTATGACAGAAAAAAAGAACTGCAAAACTCGTTTCATTGCTGTCATTCAGTTCTGAGAACATTTGGTGACAATCCAAGTAGTCTTAACCTTTTTATTTACTGCCTATTCTTTTTAACGGCAGGGTATGTTGCGAAATATAACTTCTACAATGCTGAGATATTTGCAAAACTCCGGACCGAAGGTGTCTGCGATGGTGAACGAACGCGCTATCGTCCTTTCCGGAGAGTAACGCGCTCACCACCACACCATGAGGGTCCTTCGCTTCCATAGAACTAGCTGAGAGACAGGCAAAACGAAGGACCACCATGGTGTGGTGGTGAACACGCTACTCCTCGGAAAGGACAACAGCGCGTTTGTCCCCCACCGCAGACACCTGCGGTCCGGAGTTTTGCAAATATCTCAGCATTATAGGAATTATAATCCGAGTAGTATTCGGTTCCGATTAAAAATATAACGCAGAAAAAATTCGCACAAATCGCAAATAACGCTACGAAAACTATATTTAGAGGTGAGAGCGATGCTTTTAATGAATGTCAACACAACAATCATCGACAGGTGTGAGATCTATTCAATAAAATCAAATGTAGAAATGTACAGCTGGACAGCTCCATTCATGTTTGTAGATGTCTTTGAAGAACTAGCCTTTAACATAAAAACGTTATTTACTAGAACTAACTAATTCTAGAATCTTCTAACACAAATGTAAGTCAGTAGTACTGCAACCTGTAATGGTACAACGGTACAGTCATTTTCCATGTTATGGCATTTTGTGCTTTAAAATACGAACTTCTTTTGGTGCTAAAATTTTTAGCAAATTTTGTTTATTCGAACTAATTTTCTCTAGAGTTATAGAAAATTTGAAGCATCATATAAGGAAATTTAGACTAAAGAAAGTTCAAGATTTTATCGACCGCCCAGCTTACTGCCATTTTTTTCATTAAGTTATAAATACAAGGAGAACAAGGTATTTTGTACGAATTAGCAAAGCGTGTGGTGCAGTGGTCGGAGGCGCCCTGAAACACACAAGGAATCGATCCCCGCCCCGGCGGCCCACTAAGCCTTCCGTTCCTCCGAGGTCGACAAGTCTGGGAGGATAGCGACACTGGGTCGATACATCGGTAGGCCATCATGAGTCACTGTAAAGGCCAGATATGTATTCAATTACTTCCAAACGATGCTTAATGAAGTCGAATGCATGGCGCATCCCTCAAGGATTGATCAACACCGAGAGCTTTATATCCTTTACCCTTCTATTTTGGCAAAGCGCTCGACCAAAAAGCTAATCTTGTGAAGTGATAGTTTCCAGGGTCGACTTTCTATCAACCTCGGCATTGGGATATGAATGTGTCGTTTTCTTGTTCAGCAATCGCGAGGTTTTTAAAGAGCATACATTTACTTCCATAGAAAAACACAATACAATACAACATTAGCTGACGTTTCGGCAGTATAACCTTCTTCAGAGCCGCTTTTTTCGTGACTTCCAATAAGAAAGTTTAGAACAGCTGATTATAGTTGGCAACTATAATCAACTATAATGTATTGTCTTGTGAGGTGACCTACACAAGGAACCCCCAGTCTTACAGGGTGACGAAAATAATCCTAGTTTTGCAAAATAACAATGATCATCCAATGTTAAGCGCAAGATCATGGTTTAACCGCATTCCGGACTAACCATGCCTCTCATCCTTCCGCAGTTGGCAAATTGGTGGTACCATCCCTGTCTAAGGAGAGCTCCCTCTCACCCACATAACCTGTTGGCCGCTACCATACCAGGATTTCGGGGAGAATATACACGACCAGCATTGAACAGCATTAATAAGGCGCGCAGAATGTGCGACGTCGGGTCATATGAATTAGAGAAAAATTCAGTCCTATGAAATAATGGCCATAATCCTAGCCTTTCTAAGAGGTGATTATCAATCCATTGGCTTGTCAATTCATATCTAGAACCTGAGTTTTGTGATGTGATGACAGAAACCTAACTTTGTGAAGTGATGATAGCTTTACGAGGTGACAATAGCACAGCATTGTAAGGAGTTGGAAGAATAGAAATAATGCAATTTTGATTAAACTTGACATAGGCATTCGTTGAAGGCGCTGAAAGAGAGTAAGGGAGAGCTAGGATCAGCTGTTGTAATTATGTTCCGCCCAACACATTTGATTAAAATTCTTGAAAAAAAATAAATGAACGCTAAAAACATAGTCGCTCAAATTTATTCCTGCGATATGATCGTGCTTAGGTGAAGTGCGGCCGACGATTATGATTCTTACCGTACCTCATCCATAGATAAACGTCTTTTGTATGATAAGGAAGAAAAACGAAAATATATTTCCGCTCAGAGTCATTGAAGCGCTTGTTATCGAATAGAACATTTTACCTAAACATGAAGGTGATGAAAACATTTGAAAATATTCGTTAGTGAAAGTCCTTTTTATTACATCTGCATTATAAGAGTGCAGGGTACTTCCTCATTCCATTCATTCCTTTATGATTAAAACCCGTAGTAGATATCCGCATAGATATAGATAGCAGTATCCGATAGTGACAAACACGTTTAGCTCCTATGCAGGCGTAATGTCCTTCACGGCTGTTACAGCAAGAAACCAGGTTCTAGAAAGAGTTAACAGAAGTGAGTTCTAGAGAACAGAAGTAAAGAAAAAAATTTAGGGCTTTATCGAAATCGCAAAGCGTTAGTGTCTATAAATATACCGGTTTATAAGAGAAAATAGATACGCTGGAATCGATGAGATGGTAAATGAAGACGACAAATATGAGAGTGCATATACTCATATGTGAACACGAGAGAGGAGAAATTTCCCACTAATACACAACTTCGACTACTACTAGTTGGATAATTGCCCGTGGTGAGTTTATAACGCTGGAGATCAATATAGTTGTGCTAAAACCGACGGTGAGGCGTCATGTTTCTCTCTGTCCATCCGTTGGTCGGTCCGCCCGTCCGTCTGTCCGTCATCGTTGCCAATCGCGGCCATCCATCTCCCTAACCATTCACATCCTCGGCTACTTCGTTATATGTTCCTTCTTAAGTATTGACGGCTGGACGATGTCACGTCGCCTCTACAGTTACAACGAAGCTAATCACGTCATCAGTTCTCCTCTTATATCCATCCATCATCACACTTATGAATACGACAGTGTCATATGTTTTAACGTATAACAATTAATATAACTTCCAAGACCAACTTTCTGTTAATCTCGGCATTGATCGATAATTCCATGTTTTTCTCCAATACGCAGACACGAGGTTGTTATTATAGAATTTATTAGAACTCAATTGCTGACGTTTCGGTGGTTTCGCCTTCTTCAGAGCCTGGAAAGGTCAAACTGACATGCGATTTACGCAGCCAAACACTTTCATAACCCCAACGGATAAAACTTAACAAATAAATTTGCATTCGCATAAGAAACAGCTTCATTTAAACACCTACTGTTTATTTTTTGAAAAATTTAAAAATGAACCACCAGGAGGGCCTTGTTATCACGCCTGACCTAGCGCCATACCTCAGGGTGATCCAGTGACCTGACACAGGTACAGTCCTCGCCCATGTATTACTCTGTGCGGCTGCTATTCATCAACTAACTTAAATACTTATAACAAATAAACGGTAGGTGTTTAAATGAAGCTGTTTTTTTATGCGAATGTAAATTTATTTGTTAAGTTTTATCTGTTGGGGTTATGAAAGGGTTTGGCTGAGTAGATCACATCTCAATTTGACCTTTCCAGGCTCTGATGAAGGTGAAAGCGCCGAAACGTCAGCTATTGTACCCTAATAGATTCCATAATATCAACCTCGTGTCTGCTTATTAAAGAAAAACATCGTACTAACAACAATTAAAAAGATTATACTAGTAGTGATTTGCATTAAAATTATCTTTTTTAATTACAACTACTACTGTTAGTGTTGCTGTTATATTGTTATGTTATTAAACAGTACAGTTATTACCTCGTGGTACTGTTGTATTTCCATCTACAGACTCAGACAATAGTAGACCTCCGTCAGGAATTGCATTCGTTCTGGAAGAACGTTCCTTGCAAAGGGGTAAACCTACTCTCGGTTATTAAGGGAAGTAACTGCTTGTTGTGATCACCTGGGAACAGAATAGCGTTCTTGGCATTAATTGGAAAACTTTTCAAATCAGCTATGTTACTGGTAAATCCATTTGCATTAATGTCATATTATTATAGGGTGCGGTAGTACAGTAGCAGTGATCACGTCCACTACGCGGACCGCTCAACCATGCCAGCTCTCTCATCCTTTCGGGGTGCGGAAATTGCATCGGATTTGTCCGGTACAAGCTCACTCCTTATAATCCACGTGAGAATGGCTAAGCATGACTAACTCAGTATTCTAGGAAGAATCGAATCACCCGGCATTGAACGACATTCAAGAAGTTCCCTGTTTTTAACTGAAAAAACTGACTCTGTATAAATCTCGGCATAAATAATCGTATACTCTGGAGTCCCACTCGTAACAGCACGGCTCTGAGGAAGGCGAAAGCGCTGAAATGTCAGCCATGGACCAACAACATCAACAACAACAACGACAACGACAACAAAAACCTATACCAACCTCGCATCAGCTCACCAAAGGATGTTCATAAGAACATATAAATAAATATTTCTGTTAGTATTCATCATGTAAGAACTATCGATTTAGTTAGTTACGGAGTAATGTGAAATGTCTCAGTATGACGGATAGACTGTTAGGGTATACCATAATTCGTACCTTCTGTTATAGCCTTCGCACATAAGTAATCATATTTATGCATTCATGCTTGGCTGTGAATGATGGGCCAAGATGTGCATTATTAAGTGGGTTGGAAACATATGGTTCGCGGTCAGGGATCTCCTCCAATAAAGAAACCGCATGGTTTCTTCCGATTAGCATTACCAGCATTACATAGGGAGTCAGTCGATCCATCAATGACTACCTACCTTTCTAGTCATGAGAGCGGATAATTGGGTGCAGTTTGTGGAAAATAGAAATCCATCGCAAATGGTAATTTTAGCAACGACAAAATGAGATTGAGATGATTATAGATGGCAGTATTGGTTAGGATTTATTGTCAAGGACAATAAAAATATAGGATAATAAAATATAGGAATCACATAATTTGTTAGGGCGCTAGTCTTCGCGTCTCTCGAAGACTAGTGCCACTAAGCGGTTGAGAAACAGAAAGTGCCAGTTCGACTCATTCGATAATTAGTAGTTTATAGATGACATAGATGAGAAATTTTATTGATATTAGGAAGAAGAAGAACCGTAAAAAACTGAAGAAAATGTAATAAGACTAAGACTACTCAAATTCTTGAGTTTACACAAGGTTGATAAATGTATTTATTTCGGCTAACTTTTTTTTTTCTTAACGTTTTAAAACCTTCGTCTTCATCAGAGCCGTTGATCCGTGTCGGTGTTCCACAGCTGTTCGTTATCTCGACGTGGTGTCTTCGTTGTCGTACCGAGACGGGATCTTTTTCTGTGAACACCGCACGAACGAGCATGCACACCCGGCACTGTCCTTTTATACAGGGTGGTTGTTGTTTATAAAACTATCCGTTGATAACAGTTTGTTTTTCAGTGGACAATCCACCCTGCAGCAGTCGGTATAATGTTAGCTGGCACAAAGTGAATAGCGAAACAATTTTGAGACTAAGAGTGTATGGTTGATAAAAAAACGAAAAACAAAGGTCAACTGGTTTCGAAAAAATGGAATAATATACGATAGGAATAATGTCAATGAATTCCAGGTGGGACGCAGGAATAAGCGAAATATCAATGAAAACTGTTGGAAAACGTCAATGATGCTGAGATATTTGCAAAACTCCGGACCGCAGGTGTATGCGGTGGTGAACGATTTGGGCCCCCAGATCAATCCCGCTGACGGGTGATTGCTGTGGCAAAGTTCGATAGAACTAGCTGAAAGGCAGGCGAAACGAATGACCTAGTGTGGTGGTGAACGCGTTAACCCCCAGAAAGGACAATAGCGCGTTGGTTCCCCACCGCATACACCTGCGGTCTGGAGTTTTGCAAATATCTCAGCATCATTAAAATTATATTTCGCAATATACCCTGCCATTAAAAAAGAGCAGGCAGTAAATAATGAGTTGAAATTGCTAGAAAACCGATAAAACTGAAAAAACTTATGAAGCACACTAACTTCTTACGACAGCAGTAGTGACAGTAAATTGAGTAGAAAAGTGTTTTAAGAAGTGTAGCTACATTTACTGGCCATGAAAAGGCGAAAACAACGAAAGAATTGCTAAGCCACAAAAGACCGACTTTCTGTAAACCTCAGCATAAATAATCGATACATTTATTTAGATGTTCTGCTCTGAAGAAGGCGAAATCGCCGAAACGTCAGCCATCAAACAACAACAGCCGCTACGAAGACGACAACAACAACAACATCAACTTGAACCAGTGTGGCTTCAGCTCAACAAACAAGGGCAGTTCGTATGAACATATAAATAAATCATTAAATCGTTTATAGAAGCGAAATGTTTGAAAGCAATTCTGCCAATGGCAGTTTTTATGCACAATAAGTTTATAACACAATAAGTTTCCACTAATAAAACGCTGAGAATACTTCTACACTCTCGTTACCGATGCAGTACTATATGGCCGTGGAGAGTAATGCTCCTAAATATAGAGGCATCACGTTGGTGAAGGAGTCCAGCCAATAAATAGAATTGCCCAGGCCGATAACAAATTTGACATTCCTTGCCGTAAGGCCTAAACAGAATTTAAAGCAGGCCTGGAATAAACGCATTCATGGAACAGACTGACACTATAAGAAAAATATTGTTTCCATCGGCAAAAAACAGTTCGCAGTCTACACTCCGGGCTCTCTCGTCTACAGAGACAGGTAACATGCATCTGCTGGGTCTTGAGTTGCGATGGACGTCGTTGGCACACTATCAAAATAGTTTGCCCACAGAGATTGTTCAGTACACGCTATCTATACACTTGTTTCAATGTGAACGTGCTGCAGAAGCCCAAGAGCAAGAAAAAAGACTTGCATCTCTCTAGGAGCCACTATATACCAAAAGTAAACATCTTCATGAATGTATTCAAAATCAAGCGTTCTTGCCATCAGCAGCTGCGAATAAATTGCATTTGAAACGTCTGATACCCACTATCATATCTCTTGTCTTTAAAAACTTCATGACGGGATTCATATCATCCGCATAGTCTGTGGCATAACATCCGTAATGAACGAATATGTTTCCCTTAGCATCGGCTCACACAAGACGTTGTCACC